GAATAGACTTTCCCAGGGAGGCTGAGAAGTGTGATCCCCCACCCAGCAAACATGTCACATTCAAAGTCACATAAATGACCTTTCCTCCCAGTTCTGGTGATTGATGTGAACATTACCTGAAGCGCCAGACCGGTATCAGCATGATTCTATACAATGTGCTGCTGACATATGATTGGCTGATTAGATATTTTCTTCAACAAGCAGTTGAACAGGTGTACCTAATGAAATGGCCAGTGAGTGTATGTTGCATATGAAGCTGCACCAGGTGCATGACGCCCCTGCATGGAGGGAACCAGTGCAAACTTGGGGAGAACATGCCAACAGCACACATGGGAACTTATACACAGACTTACTTATGGATGAAGCCAAGATGACCAGGAATGTAACTCCAGTTATTCTTGCTACGATGGTACGTATTTTCACTGTTTTTTCTCTGTCTTTAGAATATTTTGTCCAAACCACAATGTCGACGACTGAAATGAGAAGAAAACGGTTAGCAAACATAAAATTCATTTCAGACAGAGAATACAAAACAAATGTGTTGAGTGTCCTGTGTTTAAGGCGCTGCTCTGCACAGCCCTGTCAGCTGGGGGATAAGGGGTTAAATTCCATGTCAGACACTGTGGTAAAAAAATAATAATTTGAAGGTATAGATAGGGTAATAAAAAGTAACCAGGGGGGCTTTATAAATACAGCTTTAATGACAACAGCAGTGGGCAGGACGACTGGGGGCCTGGAGCCTCTCCCAAGCAGCACAGAGCAGAGGTACAGCTGGGAGGCCATACACACACAGTCACATGCTATGGGCAACTTACAGACACCAATTACCCTGAGAGGGAGACTTTGGGCTGCTGGAGGAAACTGGAGTAACTGGTGGAAACTCACATGACATGGGGAGCACATGCAGACTGTATACAGACACAGAGGAGGGGGACTCAAACCCACATGGCATGGGGAGCACATGCAGACTGTACACAGACACAGAGGAGGGGGACTCAAACCAGCAGCCTGGAGGTGTCAGGCAGCAGTGCTGAACAGTGAGCCACTGTGCTGCCCCATGGATACAGATTAACAGTGAACAAAACAGATACTGTATTTAGTGCTGTCAAACGATTAAAATTTTTAATCAGATTAATCACAGGGTTGCTTTCGATTAATCACGATTAAATATCATTCATTTTTAATCTATATTAATCGCATTTCATTTTGCAAGAGCAAACTGACTCAAGAAAAAAGGGATTATATATGCACTTAACATGTTTATTGAACATCGTGAACATGAGTCGGATGCATTCCATCTGCGCAATACCATGGATCCTATCAAAAAGCAAGATTTTTTGCTTAGCCGGACAACTTGTCGGATTTAAGGTACCTCAGTTTAAATGGTCTTTATCTTCGTTCACTTAAAAATTAGCCCGAACTACCGTAAATCTGACAAATAATCTGACTAATCATGAAATCCAATTCTAGCCTGGTTAATTGCCGTTGTTAGCAATATCAGTTGATAACACATTACGCGCGGTGCTTTACGTATAAAACACGTCCACAGATAAGTTGGACGGTATAGTGTGTGCGACCAATTTAATGAGCCACAAATGAGAAGTAGTGCTTAAACAGTATAAAACTACAACTTTCCCTTCTGTTGATAAAAGACGCAGCCATCTTGGATTCTGAACTCGGGATCCTCTGTGCTGCTCCAGATCTCCGAGAAACGGGAGCACGCATGTCGTCACTTCCGGCTTCCAAACTCGGAATCCGACTCGGAAATATGAGTTCCCGGGGCAAATGGAACGCACCAAAACTGCCCGAAATGGGTTGACAGAGACATTTCAGGGATTTTGAATCATTCTGCACTGTAGATGGGTTAATTGTGTTAAAAATTTTAATCAGATTAATCATGATGATGGATTAATCCGCATTAACCCGTTAATTTTGACAGCCCTAACTGTATTATAAAAATTTAAATTATGTAAATCGTTACACATTTCTGTGTTTAAATACAAAGTAGAAAATAAATCTCTATGTATAATTCTAGTCCAGTACTTCTTAAATCTATTTATAAACATACTCACTTCGGAATATAACAAAAAAGATGAACATAAATATGATTCCACCAAACACTCCTCCAAATGTTGCTTTCTCAGTTGGAGATGGGGAATGTTTAGCCATGAACTCGATGAAAGAACCTGAAATGAGGTAATAATAGTCAGTCAACAAGTAATTAATGTTAGACACAAGAAAAAACAAATGCATTCAGTGGTTCATTTGTGTATCAGATGCTTTTGTCCAAAGTAACATGTAAGTAAGGATCAGAGAGCCCATAGAGCCACGCAGGTTAGGAAGCAGATTACAGTTTTTTCCAATCATTTTAACGCGTGTCTCAATACCATGTCCTCTTTTTCAAAACACTTAACACATGCACCATACCATTGGACCATGTGAGCTAAACTATGTATACGTTTGCATTGCTTTGACACAATATGCATTCAATCA